ACATATATTTCATAGATTTTCACGGGTACAAAGCTTTGTGCTTTGCCCGCACAAGCACGAAGCCGAAAGTACCAGCCTGAAGATGGCGAGTGGAACCTCGTCGGAACGTTGCCAAGATGCTCTTAATCTTACACGGGAAAAGACCCGAACACGCCAAGAGCTGTTCAACGTATCTTCAAAAACTACAGAGTTGTGGCTTCACACACACACACAATATCCCTCCACCCACCCCAGACCCTCCATTTCAAAGTTCAACCTTTGATTTATCTTCTTCCAGGTCTGCACTGTCCACGAAAAGCTCGCTCTCGTGCGAAGAAGCTGTTGGAAGAGGGGAAAAAAGTACACACACACACACACAATGGTTTGATTTTAACTCCAGAATCTTTTCACAGTCCTCTTTCTTCATTTTAACCCATATAGTACATTAAATTTTCACTGGAAAAGTGTTGCAAATGTGGGTGGCAGGACAGGGCAGAGTTTAAGGGGAAGTCTGGGACAACGACGTGGGGAAAATCTCATCTTCTCTTCGTGTGTCCCAACCCCCTCCAATGTTAAATCATGGTTAACTCGCCTTCTAACTGGGTTTCTTCAGAAGCTTCAAAGCTGAGATCTTCCACAGGGGCAGTCTAGAAAGAGAGAGAGAGAGAGAGAGAGTGAGAAAGAGAAACTAGGTGATGATCAGGCCAGTAAACGGCAAGGATGAGCAAACTATTGTGAGAGCTTTCTGGACATGCTCTGGAGCTCTTTTTCTACCTTCCTGGATTGTTCTCACCTCTGCTCCTGTGATCACCCAGCTGTTGTTTTCCAGCTCCTGAGAATTTGAATGTTCAGCCATCTTTTTTCATGCCCTGAAATGCTCAAAAAGCAACCTGGAAAGGTTAGGAAGGAAAACAAAAAACAAAAAGGTGAGAGATGACGATTTGGGGTATCTAAATCCTTTCTAGGTCCTGGCAGAGTAGATTTCCAATGGGCCCTAAACCAACATCACATTGCTAGATCATCATCCTCTTTGTTGCTCTTTTCCGAATCGGAGGGAAGAGGACAGAGAAAAGCAAACCCAGAGGATTAGGAGGCTGGAGGATAAAAATATATGAAGAACGGTTGCAGGAATGGGGTGTGTGTGTGTCTAATTTCATGAAAAGAAGGACCAGGGGTGACACAATAGCATCTTCTAGGATTTGAGGGGTTGCCCCAAAGAAGAGGAGGGGGTCAAATTATTCTCCAAAGTACCAAAAGGCAGGACAAGAAGCAATGGATGGAAACTAATTCAGGAAAGAAGCAACCCAGAACCAAGGAGGCAGCGAGAAGAATTAATCAATGCAATGGCTTCCCTCCAGAAGCTGTGGGTGCACCATCACTGGAGGTTTTTTTAAGAGGAAATTGGACATCTGCATTAAATGCTAAAGCTTGAGCAGGGGGCTGGACTAGACGACCTCTGAGGTCCCTTCCAACCCTCTTATTCCCGTCATTCTAATGGGATCGGGTTTTTTTTTTCTTCACTTGTTTTGCCCAAAGCTCACCAGAGACAGACTAAGGAGGTGTGGAACCAAAGAGAAGGTAGATGTAGGTAGGTTTGCAAAAAAATAAAAATAAAAAAGGGTTACTGGAAAAAAACCCATAGGTTTTACAATGTTGATTAAAAGCCTCTTCTCTTCCCTTTCCATCTCAGCCCAATTAAAATCCTACACCCGTCTAGCTACAATGCCTGTGAAGAAGCCAACTGCAGTTGAGTAGATGGTTTTTTTTGTTTTTTTGTTTAAATAACATTTATTAGATGGGAAAAAAAAAATCTGCCAAAGTCCTACTTGCAATAATTTAAAAAGACAATTTTGCTCAAAGCTGTTCTTGGAAGAAATCTTTTGCAAATATAAATCTTTTATAAACAAACCCTTTCCAGATTGCTTATAAAAAAACACGTTTGTGTCCTGCGCACAACCTTTTTCTTTTCACAATCTCCCCCCTCCCCACAAAAAATAAATTAATCCTGGTATTTATGCCTGCCCCGTTGTCTTTTTTTCCAGCCCTTAATTGAAAGTGGGAGAGCCCCAAAACCTAGCATCAAATCGCCCCTAATCTGTTGTTATCCTTCTTAATTTAGCTTTTAAGGGCAAACCCAGAAATTCTTCCAGACGTCTGGTGCGGCGATCAAAATTGTATAGGGGAAAAAAAATTTGATTGGGAAATTAGCTTCAGTTTCACAGATCCAGGTGGTTCGAACTGTGGGCCAAAGTTTATTAAATTGAATAAAAGATTATTGTTTTCCTTTTGGCCCCAGTAACTTTCTTCCACTGATGTTCATTAGCTAAAAAGCTCTCCAGGGAAACTAACAACGAAGTGTGTTTTAATGTCTTTAAAAAAAAAAAAAGGTTATAAATGCAACAGCACACAAGGAAAAAAGAGGGGAGGAGGAAATTGAAATCCTTAGGTCCCGTGGCTTAAATTTATTGCCATGAGCTATGACAATGAATGACAGAGATAGGTGACAAAATGGCCCTTTTGGAATGGATTAATTTGTTTGCTCGTTTGCTTATTTGCTTAAAATCGTTTGCCACCTGTCTCAGCCCGAAAAGCCGGAGAGTGAGACGGGCAGCATATTAATGAAAAATAATAATAATAACAACACAAGAATAAAAGTATCTCTGGTGGGCAGAATTCAAGCATTAACGAGCAGCTATGCGTAATTTTTATTGATTTATTCAACGGATAGGCCCCTCATCCCGCCAAGAAAGCGACTCGAAGCGGCTTCCTGAGCCGTCGAAGCCGCGAGATAAAACATTAAAAATTTAAAATAAAGTGTTTTTTTGGTTTTAATTCCGTGTCTCGCCGTGCCCCAGAATAGCCTACACAAGTTTGGGAAGTTAGACCCCACCCCACTCAAAGACAATGCGCCAACCTGGATGATTTGCAACAACAAGCCAATAAATAAATACACAGACACACACACACACACAAAAGGAGCCAAAAGAGGCATTCTGTTCTGTAGCATCCATATATATATATATTTTTTTTCTCTCTCTCTCCAAAGACCAGGGTGTTTTTGAATGCCTTCCTGGCTGAGCTATTCTAATTCACGAGAGAAAATGCCAAGAATCTAAATTATGCTGGTCACCAGAGGCAGGCGGGTTATCCAACCCATGGGAAGCAGAGCTGGCCAAAGTTACAAGGAGCGGCGCTGCGTGGTTTGGGTGTCAGGGTAGAGGTGACCCCCCCAACTCAGAAACCCGTTTGAGTTTGGAACCGGAGAGGTAAAAAACAACAACAAGCAAGACCACCCCTGAAAAAGATAGCAAAATGCGAGCTGCCGTAGTAAAAAGTTAGTTTCTCGCCAGGAATCTCTGCCTGCCTGCTATGAAATTCTTACCCTCTATCTTCCCAAGAACAGCTGTCGAAGTAAGAGGCAGGCTGGGAGGGGAAGGGGGGGAAAAATAGGAAAGTGATATATTTTTAGCTTTGCTGAAGGCAACTTAGCAGGTGGAAATGGCTTTGCTGAGCAGAGCAGACGGGGGAAAAACAGGGAGGAGAGAGAGAGAAAGGGCCACCCAGAATCCCAGCGGGAAAATAAATAAAATCTGGATATTTTAAGGCGCAAATAGTTGTAAACAGGCAGGCTGGAAGATCTGGCTGTCTGAAAAGACCAACTCTGCATCGAAAATGTAATAAAGGAATATAAACTTGGAGCTGAGGGCCTGTTGGTAATTCTTAATTCTGCTTTATATGCCCGCGGGGGCCATGTTTGGAGAAGAAGAGGTGGTGGGGTCCACATTTTGCATTCAGGACAAGAAGAAGCCATGGATGGAAATGAATCGAGGAAGGAAACAACCTGGAACTGGAGAGAAATTTATTGAAAGTTAGGACCATGAATGGGTAGAACTGCTTGCCTCCATCCCTGGGGGGCTTTTAAGGAAGAGACAAGGGCAGCCATTTGTCTGAAATGATCTACGGTCTCCTGCTTGAGCAGGGGGGTTGGACTAGAAGACCTCCAAGGTCCCTTCCAACTCTGTTATACCACGGGGATCTCAGATTTCCCTCAAGGCTGTTTTGAGAGCGGCGTTTTTTTTGGTACAATTTCCTCGGATGGCTTTTTTGCAAATGACCCTCAGGGGTTAAGAAGAGGGGAGGGGGAGATTTTAACTTCTCCCAGAACTTTTTAAGAGTCTTTGCAGCGAAGGAACGGCGGGGAGAGTTCTCCGCTGTGCCTACCTGCCGAACAATCATGATTACTGCAATATTATTATTATTTTCACAGCCAGCGATACAATCAAGGGAAGAGCCAGGCCACCACTTCAGAAGAAAACAAGGGTAGCATCTTTTTCGACTAACACTTTTTTTAAAAAAAAATATAAAATAAAATAAAATAAGCTTTGGGAAGTGATGCCTTGGAGAAAACCTGTTAGTTTCCCAATTTTCTTGCCAGTACTGATTAAACAGCCTTTTTTTTTTTTTTTTTGCTTCTTACAAAGTCCACTTAGGAAGGAACTATCATGCTGGGAAGAAGATAAAAAAAAAGGTGCGAATTCTCTGCCTTTGAAGGGAAAGAAATGCAAATACGGAAGTCAGGAGGAAACCCCGGAGTTTTAAATAAAGCTTCTGCCTTTGTTTACAGCAGGCACTTGAAAACGTCCAGAGAAATGCAGAGAAAGGGAAGGGAAACGTCACCAAGCGGTGATATCTCAGAGTTAAAAGGAGTTTCTTAGTGGAAGCCGCTTTGCAAACATGGGGTGGTTGTGTGTGTGTGTGGGGGGGATGTCTCTCTTTGCAAAACCCCACCCCACCCTGAAAACGGGGGTGAGGGGGGCGACTCTCCCCTGTTGCAAAGGCTCAGGGTGCCAAGGATGGGTAAAAAAAGCGATCGGATGTCCCCGGAGGAACAAAATGAAACTGAACAAAACTAAACTGAAAGAAATGAAACAACTAAACGGAAACAAATTAAACTAACCTGAAAAAAAAAATAATAATAACTCTTTAAACTTTCCAGCCTGAGGAAAAACAAACAAAATAAAAATAGTAGCGTAGCAAGAGGGAGAAGAAGAAAAAAAAGCAACTGGTGTGTGTGTGTGAAAAGATGGGATTCCACCGAAGCGCGCGGGATGCAGGAACCGCAGCATCGCCCCGGACGGTTTCCATGGCAACCCCGCAACACCCCCGCATCATCCCTGCTGGACCAAACTTCGTTTCTAGGCGTGGGAAAGTGACTTTCTCTGCAAA